GATTGATATATTACAAATCCCTTTTGTAGGTTATTTTGAACTTGATTTTAACTAATAAATGGGCATATAATAGTCATGAAAGAGAGCATTGGTTTCATTCAAATAAATAAAATCAGAGTTGATTTGCTGGAGCTGCAGCTGCAAATGTGCTATTGGAGTATGAGGAGCCTTAGACTGACAGGCCTGGGTGGCGTGGATGACAGTGTGGAGAAAGGGGTGCAGGACTGGACAGAAGACTTTACATTTTTTACGTGACAATCTTACGTTGAATCGTAATTATGCTTGTATGGGGTAGATATTCTCAGCCTGTGCCACTTTTTTTTTGGAAAAGTCATTTTAGCAACCCTCATATCTACTGTATATGAATATGCCAGGAGTATTGTCACCAGTGCTTCTTTGGTATTTCGGGAGGTCACAGACGTGCTGACACTAAGCCATCTACTGCCGTCTGTCAGGTTATGGCTATATTGGCAGAGATGGTTATCCATGATATAAGAATCCTACCTAAGAGCAGCAGCATTTCAGAAATCAGTTTTATGCTATACAGTATCTGCATTCCCAGAGACATTCATTGTACAGATGTTGTGCAGAAAACACACCGAGACCATAGAAATCCATGGAACTATTATGAAGAGGGTCCATTGTCTAGATGCATCATTTAACTTCTGGATCATAGCCAAAGTCAAGTAAACGTTCCTGGCTCCTGTCATAATTCTGATATTCTGACAGTTTGCAGTGTTTGATCTCTTTAGGGGACCAAATATGCCATATGGATTATTACTATTAAAGTTCCAAACACTGTATAAATAATTCGTAACAACATTTGGATTTAAAAAGCACTAAAATAGAGCATTTGTTGTTGGGAATGAAATATTTTTTCTTATTTCTAATTAATAACCTAATTAATTATTTCTAATTAATAAAAAAAGACATTACTAAATCAATATTTTTGCATTTGTTAACAGAGTGATAAATGACCAGTGTAAGCATACTATTATTTTCTAAACTGTGGATGTGTACTGTAGGTTGTGACTTTTTACCCTGCCCATTTTATTTATTTACGACTAAATATTGGTATTTAAAAGGGCATTCCAGTTATTAGCATTTGGCCGAAAATCAATGTTTCTGCTTTTTGCAGTCTGCATTTTTACAGTGATAATGAGTTGTGTGTTTTCAAATGACAGGGAATTTGCAATATGCCTTGATCTTGTACACTATGCAATCTATGTGTGGTGTTGCCAAAGGGTTAACAATAAGGTGCACTGAAAATGTGACTGAGCAAACTATTTAAATCTGAAAAGGAGGTTTCTCTGCATAGATAAATTGGGGTGTGCTTCACTGCAGCCCGAAAATGGTGGATAGGATTATTGGGGCATACTGTATCCTTCATAGCACAGCTATAGCTCACAGTTTACTGGGTGAATTAATGGCTCCAGTGAGAAAGAACAAGCAGCTCTCTCTGGAGCACTCCCCCTGAAGAAGCTGTCAGGCAGCACCTTGGCTCACCACTGGCACTGATCCACTTATCACGGATTGTCGATTTTACAAACCAGTCCATGGAAAGCACATGTGCTCAGTCTCAGCAGGGTCAAATTCACTTTGACATAGAATAATGACAAAGCAGGGTGGCATGGTGTCACAGTGGTCAGCACTGCTGCCTTGCAGGGCTGGGGGCCCTGGGTTCAATTCTAGACTGGGGGTGCTCTCTGTGTGGAGTCTGTATGTTCCACCCGTGCATACTGGTAGGATAATTGGTTTCTCAGAAAACTGGCTGTGGTGTGAGTCTGTGTCTGTGTGTGCCCTGCAATAGACTGGTGTCCCATCCTGCCTTGGGACCCTTACTTTCCTGGACAGGCTTCTGGATCAGTCTTAGAAAATAGGTGGATGAATGATAATATAATTTGCATTTAGTTGTTATTTTTAGCCATATTGGGTTACAGGTAGTTAGTTAGCTATTAGTGCTTACTGTTCATGCCCTTGGGATCGGCCAGTAGCAGGCAATCTTGGTGAGTGTTCAAGACAATGTAAACACAGACGCATGCTGGCATGAAAGGTGTTGCTTGGGAGATACACAGGCCACTCTTAATCTCATATCTCTCACTCCTTAAGCTTTATTTGCATAAGGATGTTATTTATTATGCTCAGAATTTTGCGATACTGCACTGAATTCTGTTACTTTGATATATTGTAACAAAACATATATTTTATGCCACATGCTATGTTCTGTATACAACGCAAAGGTTTCCCTTGTTTCTAATTTGTCTTAATGACAAGTACCTTAAGTTGGATAAAATCAATTAAACTCTAAAACAAAGTGAAAGATTAAACAAAATCTGAAACAGAACATTGCATGTAACGCTAAAATGTAAAGTCAGTTTAAAAAAATGATGAATAAAATAGGCAACCTCAAATTCAATGATAGTTTAATGTCTATAAATAATAATATAAATACCTAAATAAGGAAAAAAGTAAGTGGTACTGTATGTAATAAAAGGCTGACTGAGATTTAAACAACTGAAGATAGTTGTTCAGTCCAGAAGTATCTGTTGACACAACTCATGTAGTTTCCACCCACCATTATCAATAGTGTTCCTTTCACCTTTCACATGGAAAATATTACCACATTTACTTTAAAAATGATTTTTAGCACAACCATATAAACAGCCTTCGTGAATAAATGTGTAACGGGTTTTAGTGGGGAGATCAGTATTATAGTTGGGAACGGACCTTGAACGTGCTGTACATGCATTCCTGTGGGGAATTAAGTTCTAGGTTTGTGATTTATGCGGTGTTTTCCAGCAACGCATCCGCCACATAAATCAGGAACTACCTGTGATTTGTCATGGCGGTTCAGCAGAGCTGAGTGTGAGAAAAAACACGTTGAACATGACCAGAACAATTTACCACATAGAGTTCTCTGGTCATGGATTTCTGTTCCATATTCATTGACAATTTGTATGGAGCAGCTTGACACAACCAAGCGTTTTTTTTTTCCATTTCAATATTTCTGTATAGTATTGACTTGATCGGTGGGTTTGAAAGTTATTGGCTACAACAGCTTTGCTTACCATACTATGGATTTGCTGCCATAATACTTGTTTAAATATAAAAATATTTTTTTTTCTTAGATGCATGAGTTTGTGATCCTATACTTAAAAGGTCATTGTACACTGGTGGCACAACTCCCTACCTATGGATTAATAGTGATTAGAAGGTCCGTCCCTCACTGAATGCACTGTCCCCTACTGGAGGATCAATGCTGATTGGAGGAGAGTCATGTCCCTCATTGACTGCACTGTCCTTTACTGGGGAGTCATTGCTGATTGGAGGAGAGTCATGTCTCTCACTGACTGCACTGACCTGTAGTAGAAGATCAGTGTTGATTGGAGGAGAGGCGCATCCCTCACTGACTGCACCACCCTGTACAGCAAGATCAGCTGACTGGAGGCGAATCATGATCCTCACCAGCAGTCCTGCATGCCCGCTGCAGGGCTCACCTTTGTGCCCAGTGGGCCTGCCCTAGCTGACTGCAACTGGGATTCCCCAAGTAGCTGAGCACTGCCACTAGAGCAATCCCAGACTCGAACCTGTGTTCGAGCAAATAACATTAGCTGAGCCACTGAGGTGGCTCCCCCTCACCTCCTACACCAATAACACCACTGTCTCAAAATCTCACCATGCATATCAAACACAGCAAGTAAATCTGAAACAGCTGAGAGTCCGGAGTCAATTAAAATGGGGTCCTGTGCAGCCGAGATGCAGTGCAGTATAAAATCAGATTAGACAGTCAGTGAAGGGACAGTGATCCGATTCTGCCCTTGTCGGTTTTCACCTGTTGTTTTGTAAGTGAGGCAGCACAAGCACGCTCCAGATCTATACAGCAGGTTTGTCTGGTTTTCAGTACTTGAAGGGCTTCACAGTTCACCATGCCTGGCACACACCACACAGCTGTAGCACAGAGCTTTCCCAGACATCTATTGTAATGCCTTTCAAGCAGAAAGGCAATAGCAACAGTTGCATTGCGTCAAAACATCTCTTCCTCAGTGTTCAGCCAAAAATGGGAAAACAACATTAGCTTTAAAAAAAACCCATGTAACATTAATACCAACACAGCTGCAAGCACTTGTCCTGTGCACTTCAGACTCGAAGTTGGCATGAGTCATCGTTGCCCCCATCACCCTCTCCAAGCCTGATTGCACATTAAGTGTAGTGGTTTTCATTTTGAGAGGAGAACCTTTGATTCACAAACCTTTCAGTTTGGTTTCTATAGTACTACACTGGGCCTCATCCTATGCATGAAAATGAGTATGGGTCTGCTACTGCAGATGTGACACTAATTCCTTGAATTCTGTTATTGTGAACAAATTAATTGGTGGAATCAGAGCTTTGAAATGTGGTTTCTAGCTTCCTAGGGAAATATCCACCCACCAATGTTGTTTAAGTATTGACTGTGCAAAATGCCAGTTCACTTTGATATACTAGAAGATGATTCGATGAATGATTCCATTTGTAAACATTCTTCTGACTGGGCACAACTCTTTATAGATGAACCTGCTATTTTATTTATTTATGGGTATATTTTTAATAATGCTGTTCTTGGGCCACAACGTGTGAAATGGTGGCTTTGTCTAATCTGTAGGTATCACAAGAACCCAGAAATGATTAATAATTCTACATTTAAATCCTTAAAATATGTCCAACGTTCTACTGCAAGTACAATTCTTCATAATACAATATGTGCATATAATTTGGCAGTTCTGGGTCTGTATAACATTAGGTCTAAGAACTTCTTAAATCTAAATATTATTTGCATACTCCATTGTCAGAAGTAAGCAGTAATTCCCCTGCAGGGAAAAAATGGATAATTCACACCTGAAGTAAAGAGTGAAAACATGCCCCAATACAATATTCACGAAGATTAGTGGAAACGTCTCTTGCTGAAGACTAACCACCTTCTCTGTGTAACGAGCTTTGTTCTTGCCCTCTGTTTGTGCTACCAGGCTTCTGAGAAACTCCGCATCCTGCAGCAGGGAGTTCGAACCCGGGCCGTGCCACTGAAAGAGGAGAAGTTTCACCGCGGGGTCAGGTGAGCCTGTAGTCCTGCGATTGCTTGGTTAATGGTTCTCAACCTCGTCTTGTGCAGGTGTCGGTGGGCTTTATTTTTGGCATTACGATGTATTCCTCTTAATATAGTGATTTGTGTCTCCAAGCTTTTTTCCTTTTCTAAGCAACTAGACTGGAGAATGGCCCCACTAAAGTTTTGTGTGGATGCAAGAGGCCGCAGCACAGGTTATTGACGTTTTGAAATGAGTTGGTTTTACAGGAGGCCACTCAGAAGCTCAAAACATGGTTCTTTTCTGCTGTGCTGTGAAAACAGGGGATTTCCATACACCAAAATATCCTTCTGAGTTACCATAAATGTCATGTTTAGGAAAACGACACATGGGTGTATATTTTAACAATAGCAAAATAAAGACAGACATACATGGTACAAGGATATTTTAAACACTAACACAGAATGTTGTTTCCACTGCAGTTTTTGCTCTGAAATGTCCCACACTCTCAAACGTTCCACACAACCCGAGTTTTTTTTTCCAGCAAGAATGGAATTTAACCCTTTCATACACAAATCAAACACTACATTTTAAAGACAGGAATAAAATCTACAGCAGCCATATAACCTTACAACTCACAACTGGCAACCCACTGAAGCTAAGCCTGGTCAGTACCTACAGTAGATGGGAGATCTCCTGGGAAAAACTAAGGTTGCTGCTGGAAGAGGTGTTAGTGGGGCCAGCAGGGGGCGCTCACCCTGCGGTCCATGTGGGTCCTAATGCCCCAGTATAGTGTCGGGGATACTATACTGTAAAGAAGCGCTGTCCTTCAGATGAGACGTAAAAATCAAGGTCCTGACTCTCTGTGGTCATTAAAAATCCCAGGGCGTTTCTCGAAAAAAGTAGATAGATAAGACTTTATTGATCCCGAAGGGAAATTGATGTGTTACAGCAGTCCAGCCCAAGACAAGCAAAAACAGACATCAGAATAGACGAAAAATTATACGAAATAAATATAAAATAAAATAAATTCATAAATACATAGGTGTTTGCAAAATATGATGATCATAGTCACTGTAAGAACAATAAAATATGTGCAAAATGTCCATAGGTTTATACAGATTGTCCAAAAAGTACAATGGAGCAGCGTGCTGTCCATAGAGGAGCAAATGAAGGGCTAACAGTCCTAGCCAAGGGCAGCGTTATACACCCTGACAGGAGGAGAGACCTGCGGAAACGTTCCCTTGAACACCGTAGCTGGATCAGTCTATTGCTAAATGTGCTCCGCTGCCCAATAACAGTCCCATGAAGCGGATGAGAGGTGTTGTTCATGATAGCTGTGAGCTTGGTCAGCATTCTCCTCTCAGCCACCACCTCCAGCGGGTCAAGGCTCAGCCCCAACACAGAGCCAGCCTTCTTGATGAGTTTATTGAGCCTATTTGCATCAGCACACAACAGCTTAGAAGATGGGCGCTGCCACCACTGATTCATAAAAAATGTGTAGCAGTGTTCCACACACACCAAAGGACCTGAGCCTCTTAAGAAAATAGAGTTGGCTCTGACCTTTCTTGTACAGGGCATCAGTGTTACCAGACCACACTCCATCTTATCATCCAGGTGTACCCCTAAGTACTTGTAGGACTGCCCCACGATATATGTCCTCACCCTGGATGGAAATAGGGTTCAGCAGAGACTTATTCCTTCAAAAGTATAAGTAGGGGTGTAACCCTGGTGTCCTGGCCAAATTTCCCATTGGCCCTTACCAATCATGGCCTCCTAATAATCCCCATCTATGAATTGGCTTCTCTGTTCTCCTCCCCACTGAGAGCTGATGTGTGGTGAGGTCCTTTTTTTGGTCCTTTTTTGCTAAAATATACAATATTGTAACATTAGGAAATGCTAGCAGAAGGTATGGCAGAGAAAAGTAAATGAATGTCATTTAAAACACATCAGCTTTAGTAAAGAAAAAATATAGAATGACCTTGTAAATTAATTATTTGAATGTAAAAAGTGTTAATTGAATCCAACATACAGAAAAAAGACTGGAAAGTATGGTAATGTCAAATTATGCATTTCCCACATTAATAAAAATAAAGATAAAACAATTTCTCTTTTGTGCATTTTTGGTACAGGAAGAGCAAAGAAACCAATCCTTGCACATAAACGCTTTAAACTATTTCAGCAAAGAACGTTTGTGATTGGTTGTTTATCTCAAGTATGCCATCATAAATGCTTTATTATTGTGTTTAATATTTAATCCCTTTAAATTATTAAGTATACTTGAATATATTTTGTAAATATGTGTAGTCTATTACAGTGGATGTTAATAAAGGCAGAGAGAGGGCGGGCAGTACAGAGGGAGAAACTATTACATAACCAGGAGGGGGGCTGGCTAACAGATGTCAGCCAAGAAGGTTTTGCAGAACAGTGTCAGCCATCAGTCAGTGAGCTGCTGGATCTGCGAGTGGCTCCTAATCCTAGTCCTGGTATCTGTATCTGATGGGTTTAATTCCAACTCAGCTCTGCAGCTCCAGTCCCAGTTGATTACTTGCTTTAATTGCTTGCATGTTGTTTTTTAACTTGTTTTTTCAGTCAGTCTTGAAGAGTGTCAAAGTCCTGCAGTGTCAAAAATACTCTAATTCAAGGGTGCAGATTCTCATAATTTCAGTACACAGAGCATGTGCAGCATCTCCTCAACGTGCTAGTTTTTTTTTTACTAAACAGCTTTTACTAGTTGATCAATTGATAACCTGTGGTACAAATGACACTGTATAAGACACACCCACAGGTAGTGATTTCATTGTATCAGACACAATAACTGGTAGTGATTTCACTGTATCAGACTCACCCACAGGTAGAGATGACACTGTATCAGACACAATAACGTAGTGATGACACTGTATCTGACACACCCACAGGTAGAGATGACACTGTATCAGACACACCCACAGGTAGTGATTACACTGTATCAGACACAATAACTTGTAGTGATGAAACTTTATTAATCATGCTCCCAGGCACATGTGTAGAGTAGACTGTTTCTGCCATGTTCACAGTGAGATGATACTGCATCAGATACATCAGCATGAAAAAATCTCTTGAATCAGACAATTCCACAGGTGAGAATGACACTGTGGCAGACAGGCCCCAGTGAGGTGGCACGTCCACTCTATCACCAACAATGGGCAATTTTTCCTTCTGCAGAGGTCCATTTGGCCACATTTATGATGACACCTCAAAAGTGGCAGTTCTGAAGCCTGAAATCAGTACAAAAGGGATGATTCCAATTACAAATATCATTTAAAGTTTTAAGACCTGACCGTGAGTTTACAGGTATGCCCTGAATAGAAAATTGAAATTCGCCTATGATTAAGAATGCAGCAACACCCAGAAGGCCCAGTGTTACTCCAGGACCAGGGCTGGGGACCGCGGTGACACACCATCACACAAAGGCAAGCTCCTAAAGCACTTGTCTCTTTCCCCACGGCGCCGACAAGCGTCAACTCCCAAGCTCGTCAAAGCCCCTCTTTTTCTTCGCTACAGTCTAAAAAGTGACAGCTGGAGTCGGTCTTGCTTTCCAGCTCTCCAGCCCCCCAATCCCCAGCTGACCGTCTGAACGGGAGCCTCCTCCGTCGCGGAGCTCAGTGGTGGCTGTGACAGCCCTGCGGCTCCTTCAGTTCTGACACCTGTGGTGCAGCGGCGTCAACCCCATGGAACGTGAGTCCGGAACGATAGCCCAGGCAGCGCCAAGAGAGCCCAGGAACAGCCCTGCCGGGTGTCATGACTGGGCCCCTGACAGCCCAGGCCGACGGAAGACAAAAGTGTGCCGTGTTGCAGGCGTAGGGGGTTGACTGGCTTCACATCCCCAAAAATCCGAAACTTTTCTTCAGCAGGCAATTCCCTGACGGCCACTATCCCAGAATTCCCCGACCGCATCTTTAAGTTTGTTGCGGTGTCTGCAGACAAGCAATTCTTCCGCCCTTGCTGTCTGCTCAGATGAGCTGATAAGTGAGGAGGAGGAGGTTAGTCTAAGGCCTCTGTGGTGATGAACTGTGCAGCTGGGTCACGTCGGAGGCGTAAGTGTCCCTGGGGGAGTTTAATAGGTGTGGGGGGGCACTGGCACCTAGCGCCCTGGCCTCCCTGCCCCGTCGTCAGCCCCCGTTATCACCATGATTGATTTTGCCTCCAGCAGGAGAGGTATCTGTTAATAACCACTGCAGCAAGCCTCTTGATGTCCCTGATAACACAAATCTTCTGCCCGCATTCCTTATTGCCAGGTTTATTTGCGACCCCAGATACAGCCATCCATCAACTTTAAACCAGAAGAACAGAGATGGGCGAACACGGAAAAGCTAGAGAAATCCCATCTCTGTGTGTGTGTGTGTGTGTGTGTGTGTGTGTGTGTGTGTGTGTGTGTGCACTTGTTATTTTTTTCTCTTTCTTTAATTCCCGTGCCTTTGCTACAGCTGTGCTGGAGCACGAATATTTCCTTGTGTGTGTTTCATTCCAGGTGAATACAGTAGCTGCATCTCGGTGCACTGAACTGTACAGATTCAGCAACAGAATCAATTAATTAATTCTTTTTATTTTGTCCCAGGCGTTTTCAAATTGTGTCCCTGCTGGCACTGCTGTTCTAGACGTGACAGGATCACAGATCCTAGGCAGTCAGGACCACAGTTCTTTATCTTTCCATGCTGAAGGGTTAAACATTGCCGGGAGGCAAGCAGCAATATTTCAAAACATCCCCAGGTATTTTAATACAGGGAAACGTGCCAATAATCAGCAGTCCTTCAGCATTACAAAATAACAGAATGATGCAATTCGAGTACAAAATGTGAAAACCCAGACTCTGATCTGAAAAGCTTTATACGATTGCCTGCGTTCTGGAACACACAGCTCCAGGCTTTGATTAACCCTCAGATCTCTCTCTTTTCTATCCTTTTCTGTTTCTGCAGAAGTGATACAATCACAACAGGATGGAGTATGATTAGTTCAGCTGCCTAAAGTTTCTAGAACTGCCACGTTTCCATATTGACCTTACTTATCAGACACAGATTGCTGTTGAAGTATTGCTGCTTACTGTACATTCATTGGTTGATATTTTATTTCTGTAGAAGGGGATAAATACATTTTACATTTTGTAAGAGGTTTTGCATACAGTATGCTTCATTTATTCTTTTAGAATGGTCCCAAAACAAATTTACTGTACACACCACATAGAGAAAGAAACATTGCAGTAGTGTTACTGAGTGTGGTATTTAGAATTCAGATTTTGGGGATAATTTCTTGGGGTTTCAAATTTTATAACCTGAGTCTTTAAGTCCTTTTGCATGGAAACCTGTAGGTCCCTGCTTAAAATGGTTTATACATCTCTATGCACAGTAGCAACAGTATCATACTGTTCAATGGACATTAAAGCAGTGAGTAAAAAACAACCTGTTTGGTCTGTAGCAGTATATGTAATCCATACAACATAACCCTAATTTACATTTCCTATGTACGTATTTTAACAGCCCTCCAGGTTCCTGATTAATCTAATACGCCATCCAAATAGTGATTTTCTGCATTTATTTCAGCTGAAAGATATTTTAATTGTTATCCCTGTTGCCATCTGCTTTCAGAACAATTTCCTGCGGTGCTGGAGTTTAGCAGTGCCTTTTTAATGATCAGACAGTGGACTAACGGCACTGTAATATACTGACAGCTTTCAGTAGGGCCTTGGGCTTAGTGGGCTGTCCATTAAAACTGTTATGCAATAAAGTATATAGTGCCATTTAAAATCTGTGCACTATAACCTAATATTTAATAGTTGAACATTTCCTCTTCATGAGTTTGGGGGAGAAATTGCCAAGTTCAGACATGCAGTTATGGCACTGAGCAAATCCTGCACTGAACCGATGCAATATGGCATTTTTACAGGTGTCTTAACATTTTCCATTATGTGGTTAAGTGGATTAAAAAATAATCTTAAAACAAGCTGATTCCAGAAGACCCTCCAGCCCTCAAGGACCCCCATACCATGTGTCTGTAATATGACAGTAAATTTTGTCCTATTAGAATTTTATCAAATATTACAGCTAATGAGGCTGATAACCAGAGGCACCGCTGTTCTTCCGATCTTTAGGGAAGATTATCAGGCCAGCACATGCTGCTCAGTTTAAAGTTACCTCTGCCTGCTGGGAATTCTGCACAGAGCAAGTTTCACCCAGAGACATGCAGCTCTAGTATAAATTAAATTTAAAGCATAATCCAATTCAGTATTGTTATAATGAATTGCAAATACTGCATTATTCTGTTATCTCTTTAGGCATAAAGGCTTTGTTTTGCTTTCATGAGCTAAATTGTTTTTGCCACATTCTGAATTTCTATCCCCTTGGTGATTCCTCCAGAAAGTTAGAAGGGCTTGTTCTCAAGAAACTCTTGAAATGAACGATACATTTTCCTCCTCGGCAGAGACGTCGTGTCAAATGAAGATTGGTTTGCTTCCAGGACAGGGCTGAGGTGCAAGCAGGTAGAAGGTTAATTAAAGAGTGAGCATGTTTGTGTTGCATAGGCTGCATTTCCACATGTTGCTGTTTCTGCGTGGCTGGGTATGGCAACTGTGTCACTGGATCTCAGACCAGCTGAAGGCAGCCTTTACCCATTCCCTCACCCTTCTTTTGTCTTTTGTTCCCGTTTTCCCACACTCTTGACAAAGAATGTGCAATTTTAACACCTACATCATGATTAAAGCCCGTTCCACATTACACTTCACTGAAATTTAGGATAGGGATAAAGCACTCTCATGCTTGCTGTTCGGTGTTTCAGTACAATTTTTTGCAAAGAGTTGTGGGTAGGTGGCCTATGAAGGAGTCATGTCCAAGGTATAGTTTTGTCTTGCACCTCTTGCTTGCCGAGAGAGGCTTCGGCTCTCCTGCAACCCTGTATTGGATAAAGCAGGTAGTAACTGGATGAATGGATAGAATTGTGGGTGTCTGGAACAAACTTCGAAACTATGATCTTGAAACCACTTGCATTGAATGTTTCAAAGCAGCTGGTTGAGATGCTGAGGTCTTCAGACCTGCTAGTGTGACAAGTTCAGTTCTCCCCGCCCTGAGCACACACAGCGCCCTTCCCTAGACAATGGATGACTTAATGGATAACCTAGACAATGGATAACTTAATGGATAACCACATCAAGAGAGGTCCTACTGCATGCCACAGCAGAGTTCAACACTGTCTAGATTTCAGAGGAGGGTGACGTCACTCAGTGCACCAGGCTCTGTTATACCAGCAACCAAGTGACCAGGTGGATCGCTTCATTTGTAGCTTTAACTTTCTTAAAAAGAATACATCCTGGCCTCCATCCGTAGGAGAAGTTCATTTCATTTAGAGAACTTTTGTGAAGTTCTTTTTGATCCACAACCAGCTGATTTTGTATTTTAGTGCAAAAACAGGGCAGCAACTGTCAACAAACGTGCTTATCAGAGTTACATTAGTCCACCCTCAGAACATCGATCTAGTGTTCTCTCTTAACTTTTGTTTGAGATAAATTATTGCAGAATGTTCCCAGACCAGCACTTACACATCATTGCTTCCTACACAAGATAAAAAAAAGCTTTGATTTGTTTTTAACAGAATACAAAAGTAAGGAGTAAGGCAGAAGAATATGAAGCTAAACTGGTCCCATATTTGTTACAACTGCAACCAACATCCAGGCAGATGAAGTGATTGCCGCTGTTGATCCAGTATTTTCCTTTTGTCCGCTGATAGATTTAACAGAAGAGACTGTGAAAATGTAGCTGTTGTCTGTATTGTGAACTTGGTGCGGGAGTTGGACTCAGCTCCTAGCCCTTTCGCTTCTTTGTACACTAATACAAGTAAATCCTTTTTCCCAGTTGCTGAGCTGGCTATAATTTCTTGCCTGTTCTGCAAAGGCAGCTGAGAGAGTAAGAATATATATTTTTTTATCTTTTAAAAAGCGCTCTCTCTCTCTTTCTCTCTGTCTCTTTACTGCTGTAGTGACTCAATTGGGAACAGTTACAGCCCTGCAGCCCAAGACTTCTCCACATATTTCATCTATAAGCTCCTCGGCTCCAATGGTAAGGCTGAATTACTCACTGGTGGTGCTCTCCCCTCGCCCTTCTCTCCCTGTTCATCTTATAAATGTCCTTGAGCTCCAGAGATCTCTTTTACCTGAAGGCAGTGTGGTTTCAGCAGCCAGATGTAGTTTTGGAATCTGAAAGCCGGATCCTAAAGAGCTACAGATCTGTCTTGTTTTCATTCAAATCCGAAGTTTTATTTTTTATGGGCAAGTCACCTGTGCCCATACAATAAAAGCAGACAATCCGCACTGCACAAAGAGAACTGGGATGATTGTGGGCCTGTCCAAAACATATCCCTAGTACCATTTTAAATATTACCTTAACCTGTGATGGGAGGCATTCCAAAACCTGTGTATTTGTGTTTCGTCCACGTATGATCTTAAGTAATGAAAATGAGCTTGATGTTTGATGAATGGAGATGCCTATCGAATCAGTTTCAGATTAGAGCTGGGTTTGATGCAGATTGCTATAGTGTCCTCCACAGGACAGTGTGTTCCTGCAGGAAGCACCTTTCAGTATCATTAGCAGTTTCTGCCTTTTTCCTGTTTAGCTTCTTGACTTTCCTTTTGTATGTGCTTTATGCCTGCATCGCTGGGTTAACTGGCAGTTTCCCTTCAATAGACTTTAAAATGTCTGTGTCAAAGACCTTATTGCTCCCCCCATAAAATGTTTTTTTAAAAATCAGCTCCAGAGACCTATTATCTGTCAGTTATACCCTCCTGTGCTCTTCATCGTGTGGGAGTGAAGGTCTCGGCTTTTCCAGACATGTTCCAAGGGATGGTGATAGATGCATTTGTAAATTATTCATAACAGCACTTCAGAAGGTAGAAAAAAACAGAGTAAGGAGATCTAGAAAATATATACAGTATATATAGCAGTTGCTTGGCATGGGAAATAGAGTCAAAGGAAAGACAAGAAAACAAAAAAAAAGATGTTTGTGTGACTATTTCTCTGAGGTTTCTTTCCAGTGATTAAGGTGTGGATTTAGGGAGATTTGTTCTTGCAGATGTCCATAAAACTGGTGTTTATGGCTCCTCTAAAGCTCTCTTCTTGAAGTTGTCTGTTAAATTGATGTTTTAGTGTGGAGAATTGGCTTAGAAGGACCAGGAAATTCTTGGGAATATTCTGAATATTTACAGTCGCTGAAGTGTTATAGTTTTAAAAATAAATGAACAAAGCCTCTGTTCATCCTGTTCCAGAGATGTTCGTCAGAAAGATATTGTCTCAGTCCATTTAGAAAATTTACAGAGTGCAAGTTTTCCAGTTTTAGATGAATCTTTAAAACCTACATCACCACCCTGAGTCATCTGCTACTCAACTACGGCCTGGATCCACGTATTAGAGACATCAAAGTCAATGGACAGTGGCCTCCCACTGCTTTAATTATGAGGCTGACACTTTTATCTTATTCTATTTTTTCAAATAGGCAATGTGGTCTATTTTTCTTAACTAAGCTCTGACATTTTAAGGTTGATAATTTGTTGTTGATCATGTGTTATCAGTCTTTTATTGAATTTGTTTTACCTCCTGCCCTGATCAGCTTGTTTGGAAATCTGAATCTGAGCAGCAAGAACAAACTGTGAAATACTGTCAAACTGTGTCAGAACGTGCAGTGGTGCTGATCTTTCGGCCCCATCCCATGTATATCTGTTACTGGTCTTGCATCAAGCATATTCCATCCTAGGGGACTCTTCACACCCTTTGAAAGATGATTCTCTTGTTCACGTCTGTGTTGTATTGTTTGTGTGTTTTCTTTGTATTGTCTGCTGCTGTAAAACAAATTGCCCCTTTGGGGATAGTGAGGACACGCTCTCACTCTCCTTATCCAAATTTACTCATGTGCTCGTTTACTGTATACAGGTTTGTCTTTTACTGATGCACTGCCCAAGGGAGCAACACCTGTATCCTAATAGAGGTTTCGTGGTTAGAAGAAGCCCTGACCACTGCACAACATACTGTACCTGGACTGAGTTTTGGTATTAACCCTTAGGCCTACGTTTGTATCAGCTTTCCCCAAAGGACAGCTGAGGGGATGTTCCTGTGGCAGGTGCACAACTCCAGCTGTAGTGCCATGGAGTCTGCAGATCTGCATTCTGACTGAGCTCTTACCTACAGTACATAATTTAGCTAATTAGTGCCTTAAAATGACCCATCTAAAAATAAGTTATGCTTCTTTCAGTGAGGAGGATTAAACTCTTATTACATTATTGCATTAGAAGAGGTACAGTATAACTAGTCATTTATTTATGTACTGTAGTCTTCATCACCCAATGTTACCCATGCATGTTGTCCTGTCTCATGTTCAAGTTTGAAAGATGTACAGAGCCTCCAGTGTCTGTGTCACCTGGGGATTTTGGAGGAGTAAAAATCAAATATCAGTCCAGAAGCAGATGTGATCAATAAATAATTATACACTACAAATAAAAGAGAAAGCAAAATCTTAAGTGATTATCCCTTATAATATTTATTGTGCTCTCACAGATTCAGTTAATTACTTTTTCAAAGTTTACAGAGTGAGATAGCTCATAAATAGCTGTGTTTAATTTTCCTCCCACGTTTTCAGTTCGCATTAATTCTTCTGAATATACACACAGCATGGGGAACAGTATGGTCGACAGCTCTGTTGAATATGAAATGATGGGGTCTCTCCACCTCCACAGATGGTACACAAACAGACAAGCTGCTTGTTGGTGGTGCCTGTTGGGCTTTTCTGATATTTTCTTCTGTGTGATGAGAACATTATGAGTAGAGAGAATCTTCAATTGAATTTCGAGAGTGAAGAATGGTGAAGTCTGTAAGAACTTGCTTCCCTTTTGGATATAACTAGATTTGTCAATTATTTTAAAAATAGATGGTGTGGAAACATCAAAATGAAAATCATGGATCTGAAGTTTTTTGGAATTTGATTTATTCTCCAAGTGGACTAGCTGTCCACTTCCCAAAGTTCAGGAATTAAGATTAATGGATTCCACGTTCAGTGGGTTGCATCACCCTTGAGCAGCCTCATTTTATTAAGTTTCTGTACCTACGCTAAAATACCCAGTTGCATAAACGAGTAAAAATGTAAGACATTGAGGATAAAGGTGTCAGCCACACAAATTAATAACTTCACAACTATAAGCTCAAAATCTAAGTTAATAGAAACAAGCCGTTTAATCTGAAATATAAAACAAAGGTGGGAAACGCCCATTATAAAAGGGTAACCTCAGATTTAACCATTGTGATGGGTCCAACCACATAGCCTCTTCTTCTACCACACAGAGTTCTGTTTCAAGAGGTTGAACATATAAAAGCAGACATACAGTAGGCATAATGCCAGCTTTATTGCTCACTATATTCTTCAAACAATAAGTAAAGCATTAACCCGTTGCAACCCATTTGATTTGTTGTTTTTTAAGAAACTGCATTGCTGTCAGGTATGCTGTCGTATGAATGTGGAGCAGGGTGTAGAGACATTTAGGACATAGAAAACATTTTTCAGCGTTATTAACCCAGGTGATAGCAGTTGTATCATGCATGAGGTAATCATGCTGGCTTTCTTAGGAGTTCTTCGCATGCTTAATATCTCTCTGCGTGTCAAAAGAGGAGGAGCAAAATGTTAAAAAGAGCTGTGCAAATGCAAGGATAACACATTCTTCCTTTCAGAATTTTATTTTAATCTTATTTTAGATGATACATTTTATAAAAGTGTGCGTTTTCATTTTATAATCTGGATTTGAAGCTCCTCAGTCATTTCTTTTGCAGACCAAGTATTCTTGCAGTGAGAGCAGTGACTGAACATTAACTATGAGCATTAGAACATTAACTATATTAAAAGCAGATATCTGTTTTTTTTATTGATCTTCTGATTTTACAAGGCTACATTCAGGCGTCTTTGGTAAGCCTTGCAATGGTTTGAACGGAGTCCAAGGCTTAGTTTGCACGAAGCATGAAATCTACTCGTTTTGTTAACGGTGCTCTTCGTTATATAAGTAAAGCACCTGGTGTGAGTTTCAAAAACCGTAGGGTCAGCAAATCTTAAATAAGTGCTGCATGAGAACTTAAATCATTGTTATATAATGTCTTATACACCCCGGATTTCATTTTTTCTCAGCTGCTGATTCTGTTACCCTGCCATTCAAACACACTTCCATGACACAACTTACAAACTGTCCTGAAGTCTCCACACTTCTCTACACCTCCTTGCCCAAAACCCACACCTGGTAACACCCAGTCCCAGTTTTCTTAGCCCGTCTCTAATGACAATATTGATCCGCAGTGTACAGAACCTTGAAAATTAGATATTATTATATCGCATTACATATTACATATTACAGTTTATTCCCCAAATTGTTTTGTTTTTTCAAAAACATTAAAATGCAATCGCACTTTTCATTCAGAAAATCCAGAGCTGGACTTTGTTTCAGCTACGACACTTGACTTCAACCTGTTTGTGCGTCAACTCTGTGATTGCTCTTCACTGTGATGAATGATCTTTTGTAGGTCACTAGGAAATTTCAGAAATTCACCTAGAAAATTCACAGAAGCACAGAGAGAATAGCAATGCTGGCATTTTCCCGGGTGCTAAAATATAGCATCTCCACCTTGTGCACTCGATAATTTTCCTCAATAAGAAAAAGGAGGAGACGTGTCTAACTCAGTCTGAAACAAAAGCAGCAATCTGTGAAGAATTCTATTTCACAGGCAGCACATTTTGAATTCACCCCTGCAACAGAGAAAGTGACAAACGAATTCAAAAATTTCACAAGTGCCTATAAAGGAACATTGAGAGAAGCTGAATAGCAGATGGTTTAACCTTTGGAAATGCTTCATACAGTATATATTCACCCCATACTTCAGATACTTCATTTAAACTAATTAGGAATAGTTAGCTGAAAAGTAACATCACAGTTTTTTGCATTGCCATTTTATTTAAAGTAATTTCTGTCTCATAGGCTAATAATGACATCCCTTTGTCTGATGTGGTTTGTAGGCTGTATTGTAGCAAAAAAGACCTC